TCAGAGGGATACTCAATTGAATCTGACGAAGCATCTCCATGAATTTCCTGTATTGATCTTCTTTCTTTTGTTTTGCTAGTCTCTGAGGGAATGGTGCAGGCATCACTCTTTGTCTACTGCTTGTTGGCTGTTCTTTGTTGGAATTTTGTGGCACAAGAGGTACCACCTGTTCTACAACTTGTTCACTTTCTTTAGCCTTACCCTTATCAACCTAAGCCTGTTCAACCACCACTTTAGTGAGTTCTGCTGATTCATCTATCTCTACTGGAACTGGAGTGGCTGATGTAGTCTCTCTTCTGGATTGAGCAACTTCTTGCTCCTTGTCTAAATCTCTCCCATTCCGTAGACTTACTGCCATCAGCTGATTCGGGTTTTGCTCCTTGGGGTTAGTGTTCGTGTCGGCTGGCAATGTTCCCTGGGGGCAGTTATTTAAGGCCATGGACAGCTGCCCTAGTTGAGTTTCAATACCCTTAATTGCTGAGTGATGCACTGCCAACTTTTCCTGCATCTTACCATTTGTTCCAATGAGTTGTTGCAGCATACCCCTGATTTCTACCATGTTGTTTTCTTGTTGCTGATAAGGTGGCTGATATGTCAACTGTTGCTGGTGTTGCTGTTGATAGCCCTGTTGTCTCTGATATGGCACCATTTGGCCTTGAGGTCGCATACCTCCAGGTTGTGGCATGTTCGGTCTGTACTGCTGGTTGGGTGATGGTCCCCATTGTTGTCCTCCTTGCCTCTGACCGCCAAAATTGTTGACATAATTCATATCCTCTCTTAACCCTTGGTTGTCACCTTCTCCACTCCATGAACACACATAAGACTGATTAATGCAAGGTGTACACAGTCCTCTATTTGTTGTGTTAACGATATGCACTTGCTTTGTACCCATCTCATCAAACTTCTTTGTCAGTATACTCATCTGAGTCATGACTGTGGCTATGTTCTCTGCATGTGAATTATTTGGGTCAAGAGGAACTGAATGCACTATTGGTGTCAGGGTCGTACCTCTCGTCATCCAGCCCGAATTCTGAGCCATCTTGTCAAAAAGGATTTTACAATCTATGAATGTCTTGCTCAAGAATGCACCCCAAGCTGAAGCATCTACATTGGCTTTTAAATTGTCTGCTAACCCCATGTAGAATCTTTGGCAGAGCATCTTGTCTGGAATACCATAGTGGGGACACTTCAGTAGCATCCCTTTGAATCTTTCCCATGTTTCCTGCAAGGTCTCAGTGGCGTCTGCTTGTACTGCAATATCTCATCAATCTGTCTTGCAGTCTTGTTGGGCGGGTAAAATTTGTTCAGGAACTGCTTGACTAATTCCTCCCAAGTGGCACTGAAATTTATTATGAGTAAATTAAGCCAAGTCTGAGCTTCCACAGTCATAGAACACGGGAACAGTAACAGCTTGATGGCTTCTGGGATCACATTTGGCTGCCTTTGGGTCACACAAATCGACAGAAAATTTTTCAGGTGTTGTTGAGGATCTTCAATGTGTGACCCGGAGAACAATCCCTTATTCTGCAGAAGATGCAGCATGTTGTTGGTGATCTGGAATGTCTCCGCTTGTATTTGGGGCACAGCATTGGCGGTGGACAGGTTGTCAGCTGTTGGCTGTGCCCAATCATAGAGTGCAGCTTCTGGCACAAGAGGTGTCACCACTGCTTCGTTTGCATTGATGTTTTCCCTATTGTCCATTTCAGTTGCGAGTTGGTGTGTTTGATGTGATAGTTTGTTCTTCTTGTTGGCACGGTTTAATGCCCTGAATGTTTTCTCGAGGTCTGAGAGTCCTTCAAGCAGTTCACCAGTCCTCGAAGAATTTCTAGGCATACACCTGAATCGTACAAGAGTTCAACCGTGAGAATTTCAATGAAAAATCATATAACACTATGGAAAATTGATCTAAACTAATAATTCTAGCACTACTTCTAAGTTGTAATAAATAACACCGTTAGTTCCCAGGGCAACGGCGCCAAAATTTGATCACGCCCAACGATGCCTTATAAAAGACAAAGCAGTCGTTGCAATTATAATCCGGTTTACAAGTCCGGAGTCGAATCCTCAGGGAACTAACCTATCTATTACAACTCTTAGTGATGCTAGTACCAGCTCACCAGTTCTCGGATATAGGATTTTTATCAATAAATATGGGGATTTGTTTAACTAAAGTAAAATGATAATAAGACTAAAAATATTCCAAATTAAAGATAATTCAATGGTAAAAAGGTCTAGGGTATTGACTTCCCCAATTGCTAGATTAATTCCTAACTCTTTTACTATAATCTCGCCGTAATACTCTATGAGGATTATGAGCTATGGGTTACCGCAATTATCTCTCGATCAACTACGATAATTTACTAGAGCATTCTCTCGAACTACTCTAGCTGATAATTTATGCAGCTCTTGAATTATCCCACCAATGTTTTGTTATCTCTAGCCCCACTTTTAAATTCAAGTAATGAATCTCTTCAATTACCCAAAAGTGGTGTTGTTCAATAACAGTCTAACCTAGTATTCTTTCTCAAGCAACACAAGGCGATTAGACACGATTAATCAAGGGTCATTCAATTAATCACCATACAAAACATAGTTGAACAATCATATGATAAACCTGGCTCGATTATAACAAAACTGAGTCAAAATTTCATCTAACAATTGGTCCCATCAACCCTAGATTAAGTGTTTAGCTACTCAAGGTAAAACAAGATAAAACCATAAAATCATTCATAATTCACAAAATAATAACAACAAGAAGAAGAATGAAAAACTCTAATGGTGTCTTGATGTTCTCACACTTGTTCTTGCCTTCAATTGAGTCTAAAAATAAGCTTAACCTTGACTTGGGCGAGTTTGTTGAGTTTATATAGGGTTAGGATAAGTTTCCCACGCTTTACACTTTAGCCCTTAAACTTTCTTGGGCTTCTCCAGATCGACCGCGGTCGCGGGCCAACCGCGGCACGACCGCGGTCATTTTAAGCATTCTGTTTTCCGCTTTTCTTTCACCGCGGTCGCGGTGGATTGTTACCCAGTTTTTCTTCGCCTTTTCTTGCTCGTTTTCACTTCTCAATTGGCCTTGTATCTACATAATTGACCCCAAAACACTCTATATCCTCCTCCTAACTCGGAGTAGTTCCTGCAAAGCATAAAAAACCTCAATTAGAGCATTTTGTTATCATTTAGCACTTAAAACATCAATAAAATATGGTTAACTTCGAACATAAATAGTATCTACATTGCATAATATAGGCTACTATCAATACGGTAAAATTATGTCAAAAATTATCATGTGAAGCTAGTAATTATTTGGTTTTAACTTATCAATATTATTAGTGTCAGTGTATTTGATTTGGTAAGTGGTCACTTTTATCTTCTTCTTTTTTTCTTTTTGTGTGTGTGCCACCCACCCCCATTTTGCATTCTAAGGAAAAGAAGAAAGACGAGTAATCGTATAGATCAAACTATAGACCAGACCAGACCAGAATCTAGCTTTTTGTAACAAGAGAGCAGCACGCGGGTATCTAGAAAAGATGAATCATAAGACAGACAAAAGGATTATTACACATTATTATCATCTCTTTTCCCTTTTTCTACTAGACCCACCACGTAATTGCTAAAGTGGATAGCTTGCTGCGATGTCACGAGGAGGTCACAAGTTTGAACCGTGGAAGCCTCTTGTAAAAATACAGAATATGGCTGCGTATAATAGACACTTGTGATCCGATCGTCCCCGAACTCATGCATTGTTAGAATTTAGTGCATCAGATTGTCCTTTTTACTCAACCCACAAAATTGCGAAAAATAACCAGTTTGCCGCTCTCCACCCAAATGTTAAACCTCTTGAAACACAACAAATTTATGTGAACTTGCTTATTTACATGTATATGATTAATTAATCTCAAGTATCACGTAAGGTTCGATGTTAATTTGAACCATTAGATGTTTTTTATTCTCTTCAAAAGAACTTGACGTGGAGAATGGGGCAAATCTAATTAATATTGCCCTTGAAGATTGCGACGCATAACCAGTAATTAAACTACCATCCAATTCTCATTCGATGTTTCTTTTACTTTTTTCTTTTGAATTCCTAGGGTGGAGGAGGGGGACCATGCATGCGGCTCTCCCCATTAACATACAAAATTAAAATTAAAAAATACATATTTTCTTACTAAATTTATCATGTAGTGAGTGCATTGACTGAGTGATTTTATTTTGTGCCTCACAACTTACACTAGTTGTGTGAGACCTCTTTTTATCTCACATATTTGTGGGCCCATATCTTACACATATAGGTCCACAAAATTCTAGGATTGTACAGTTGTGAGACAAAAAAGAGATCTCACACAACTAGTGTCAGTTGAGTAAAACACAAAATAAAATTTTTCGTGCATTGACAAATGACACCTCGCTTTGCTTAAAATGCTGGATCCATCTCGATGTAACATGCACGTATTCCAAGCAAATTAATGATCCCTAATAAACATAAGCCCATTGAATAATACACGGGAAACTTTAAGAAAATCTGTTGGAAGTTTGTATCACACTCAACCGTTCTTTATTGTACTTTTTTCCAGAGTTCATTACCAACTACACTTTTCCTGTCCCTCTGTCATTCATTGCACATAGGAACGGCCTAATGTGTATCACCCACTTGGTTTAATTGATGGTTAAATGCACTGAGCTATCATGGGGGCAAAACTGGAATAAAGCATACCCTTTTTTCCCTTTCCTAAATAAGTCAATTGCTGATGTTTAACTAACAAAGAAAATTCTAAGAGAAATAGTTTTACAAAAAAAGCAGAAAACTTTGGTAAGTAAGAAATAATTTTTGAAAAATTAATTTCCGTGGTACACAACTCACTAAAAAAAGATATTTTTTAACTTTCTTCAACACTTGAGAAGTTTGCTGGTGCAACACCAGCACAACTGATAAAACCTCTAATGACTTAAATCTTCTTATTTTTAGGGCTCAACGATTGGGTACCAGATTTAGCTCGGTGTCAGTAAAAATGCTGCAAGTATAAGATTTTTTTAATAACTGGGGGGACAATAAGCCCCAGAAATAAAACAATAAATACAACATTAATTCAAAAATTAAGCGGAGACTGTACAATATCCACCCCCAGCTCACCGTCCTGCCCTAAATAGCAAAAAAGTTATAAACCTTTAAAAACAATTTCTACTGTCATTGATGGCTCAACTTGCGCTTCTTTGCCTGTTTTCTCAATCTCTCCCTCCTTTCTTCTTCTTCTATCTTTCGAAGTTCTTCTTCATCCTCTTTCCTTGCTATTTTCGCACTGTTAAAAATGAAAAGAAAAGCAAGTCAGAATTGTTTCACTCATCTTGCTGTTTAAAACTTCTGCAGTGACCACTTTAAGTACATTATTTTGGCAAACAAGAAACATCCAGAAAAATGAACACTAGTAAAATCTTTAAATATCAATTCAAAAAATACAGCGAGCCAGAAAATGAGTGAAAATAAAGTCTGGTCTAACAAGACACTGTAACCAACCTCCGCCTTTCTTCCTTTAATATCTCATCAAAATTAGCCTCCATATCACTATCATCATCTTCATCGCGATACCTGTTAGGATTATACCTGCAAAACAGACAACACCTACTTCAGCCAGGAAATTAGGGAGAAATTAACAGAAGCAACAACGAAAGATAAAAGCACCCATAAAATACTGTCCAATCAAAGGAGCAGAAAATATTTCAGTTTCGATGACAGATCCACATCAGTAGGAAGTTATTTCTACTCGAATAGCAAATTTGTAAATTGGCTATTAACTTCTTCGATTCCATTAAACCTCAACTTAAACCAATTAGCAGACTTACATGTTCTAGGAATATATGTTCTAATTATGCAATGCCAACTAAACTTGCAAACGAAAGAAAGCAACAATAGACGTAAACTTGTAAGGAAGGAAGAAACAAAAGATAAATACCCAAACATCTTCCTAATCAAACTAATGGCTTCGGCTCCATCTTCTTCTTCATCATGTCTCATTGGTTTTCTTGCTGGGCGCCTATCATCTTTTCGAATAGGTGCTGGACGCCTGTCATCTCTTTGCTGAAGAGCTGGGCGCCTCTCTTCTTTTCGCTGAAGTGCTGGTCGCCTGTCATCTCTCTGCTGAAGTGCTGGACGTCTCTCTTCTTTTTGCTGAAGCGCTGGGCGCCTATCCTCCAAGGGACGAGCTATATTTCTAGGAGGTGGTGGCTTTATCTGTTAAGATCACAAATTTCAATCAGTAAAATCTCAAAGGTCAAAAAGTTGGAGGGATCAAACAAGACCTCACCCTACCCAACCAAAAGAGCCAAAAGATATTTTGCTCATAACCAAACAGGACCTTAGAAAAGGAAAAAAGCATTAAATATTACCTGAGGTCTAGACGAGGAGACTGGTTGTTTCTGAATCACTCCCTGAGGTCTGGAGACGGGCACACCTTGTTTTGGAATCACTTTTGACTTTCCAGATTCCAAAGGAACCCTATTCTGTACCGAAGATTGCCTTGGTACAGAGGGTTGCATCTTCGAAGGGGTTGGCCTATGTAAAGCAGCCACATTACTCTTAGCGCCTGGTGCCAAAAATTTCTTATCATTTGGATTCCCTGTAACCTTGGTGGGAACCCCTTTGGGCCCCAAAGGCCGCCCAGGCCCACTTCCATTACTGCTACTGAACTGTTTCCTAGAGTCTAATGATGGTTGAGTCGGTCTATTAATAGACACCGATTTCTGAATCGCAGCTTTAGGTTGCATTTGGCTGCCTCTTTTCACCTCACGATCATCTAGAAGCTTTCTCCCAGTATTACTTGAAGACTGCTTGCCACTCGGACGTTGAGCCAACCGTGCATCTTCAATATCATCAAAAAACCTGAATAAGTTTCTCAATAAATATAGCACGTTGTGTAAAATTAAACAGAAGCATGATTAAATAGTGACCAAGAGCGCACCATAATTAGGGGCAGAGACTTTCTGTGTTAAAGGACCTTTGGATGGACCAGGAAGTTCAGCATCATCAGATAATAGAAATGAATAGTCCCTTGTATTTTTTACCATATCGATCTTTCTTTTTAACTACAGAAAATCAATAACATGAAAAGCCTCAGTAAAATACAGAGATTACATCAGAAGTAATATTAAGAAATAAGTTCGAGAAATTGCACCAATCGAAGTCTTACCCCATTTGTGACTTTTGGATTTGGTGCATGGTTGCTGGCGGAAGTTTTTGATACTGCAGGTTTTGAAGCAGAGCTCTTATTGCTCTGCAGGAAAAGGCAACGGTCAGTATCAGATGTAATGTAGACCAAAAACAGAAAGGTGAATCCATGTGCTAAAATGATATATGCTTTCCCCAATTAATATGACTTCAATTAACCAGGCATAGCATGTCTCACTGAGAACATCTTTGGGGAAACTGCTATGATGGTTACATCATTCTGATAGTGTGGATGTGGATGCTAACGCTGATGACTTTAATACGATGTCTAAGACTAAGGCTTTCAATGATGCACAAACCATCAATAAATATAGAATTGCAAAAACAAAATTGAGGTACAAGCAAATTGATATGCACTTGAAATTCGATACATACAGGATGGCTAGACTTCATGACTTTCGCTGCCAGATTTGGATTCTCCAGTAGTGACTTGCTTTCTTGGATTACTCTTTGGGAGATAACAGGCTGTGAAGGTCCAAAGAAGGAACCAAAACTGCAGTGGCAGATAGAGACGGTTAGACTAAAACGAAAAGCCTCAAAATCGAAAATGTAATATAAACTTTGCTAAAATGATGATATCATTCGACCAGCACAAAGAGGAACACACTTTTCTTTTTCCAACCACATTGTATGCCTCTAACAACGAGGCAAGCCTAATTCTCAAATCCCTTTACAGATGCACTAATTAGAACTCAACAGGAGAGAACACAACCATCTTTCCAAGGAAAAAAATATGCACCAAATATTTTCCACATAACTGCAGTAGCCATGTAAAATAGATATCTATACATGAGATCGAGCACATTGCTCCAAACATCTGCTTATAGAAACTCGGACCAAGTTACATAACCACCAAACAAATTTCGTGAAATTGATAACTTCAATCTCAGAGCAACACATGTAGCATCATATCAACATAGTAGTGGCACTCACTTATCTCTGGATGAAGCATTCTCTTTAATTTCGCGAGAACCACCGCCTAGTTCTTTCTTTCTCTGCTTCCTGATATCTTCTTTTAACCGTTGCCTCAGCTCAAGGTACTCTAACAACTCCTGTGAAGGCTGTTGAGGCTCTTCCTCCTCATATTCCTCTTCACCAGCCTCTTCCTCTTCACCTTCATCCTCGTATTCATCCAAATAATCATCATATTCCTGCATGAATGTAACTTTATGGTCAAACGAAAGTATATAAATCAACTATGCTCCAATTCCACATTACTCAAAGAAACTGCTACATGAATCCTCTTTATCCATTCTATTCTAGATCTATCTTATTCAAAAATTAAATAATTTATTTTCTATTCTCTAAGTCTCACATGTATTACTACAAGACGATATAAAGCAGCAGACTAAAAATGGGAAGTGAACAAGGTCAAATAAGCTCACATCTCCTTCATATCCCCGCATAGCTGCTTGGATCAGTTGACCAGATACCTCAGTGAACACGAAACAGCAGAATTCCTGATATAAAAGAGAGAATTAAAACTATGACCACCAAATATGATAAAGAAAGAAATCTCCGAAACTTTGTCACACAGCAAGAAAAAATCACCAAATATAAAAACTTGTTCCATGAGGAATAATAACCGGTGGACATCACCTCGAATCAATTAGGAGACAACAAACCCAAATAAATGAAGGCGATATTTGATTTTCTGACGTCTTGCAAAAGGTTGTTCCAAAATCGTTCTTGTTTGAGTTCTTCTAGATTTCTCGGAAAAAGCCTACTTTTTTAAAGAGATTTGACTGTGTTTTTCAAGCAAATTATTCTTCCATCACAAAATATTCAACTGCAACCATCCAAGCATTATTCTTTTTGCACCAAAAAAAATTTCAAAACAATTTTTTCTAAAACTTTTATCCAAAAGTTGCTCAAACGGCTCCCAAAGATCAGTTTTTTAAACAAAAATCAGAAAAAAGAAGAACCAATCTAATCGAGAATTCATCATAGTAATTAAAAAGTTCTAAACAAATTGAAACCAATCGAATCGATAGGAAAAACAAACACAAGCAAAATCAACACAATCAACAAAGAGCAAATCAACAGAGATTCGAATGCAAATCCAAAAAGGAGAGCAAAACGAATCGGTTCCTATTCATCATTGAAACATAAAATTTTCTTTAAAAAAAAAAAAATAATAAAGCGAATCGCTTAAGAAACCCTAGCTGTTATCAAGCTCAATCCATAAATCATAAAAGAAAAAATGAATCAAAGTAAAAAATAAATTAGAAAAAAACAAAGAAGAGAAAATCGCAACAAAAAAGAATACCTGTATTGATGTAGCGAATCAAGTGAAATTTGAACGCAAATGCGAAAAGGAGCGTCGATTTATATAGAGCAAAGCGAATCGGTTCCGGATCTGAAAAAATCAAGGAAAAAACAAAAAATTAGTACTCCTAATTGAACTAGGAAACGGAAAAATCGAAAAAAATCGAAAATTAATAAAAAATTACCTGTATCGATTTAGCGAATCCGAGAAGGAGCGTTGAGAAAATTGATAAATCAGAGCGTGGAGATCCTATTTTGACGGCGAATTGGGGATTGTGTTTGGGGGAAGAAAAGGAAGATAAAGCTCTTGTAGGGCAAACGAGGAATGAGCCAGAAACTGAACAATAGAGAGATTGAGGAGCCAGGCTATCGTGCGCAGGTGGTGGATGTAAATACCCGAAAGCGGGCTCAATTTCGACCCCCGAGCCCATTGTTGGACTACTTTCGAATGCATGGATCGTAATTAGTTTGTGTAACAATTATAGGCTCCTCACTACGATTTTTAGCCACCGAAATACTTTTAAGCCCTATTTTAGTAATTTTTGTGTTTTATGTGTGGTTTGTGTGATACACTTTTTATATTTAGAAATAAAATTAAATTAAATTTATTATTTGACTCTTAACATAATTTATAGCCAATCATAAATTTTAAAAAAAATATCTTAAATTCTATGCATAGTCAAACAACATCATGTAAAATGAAATAAAAGGAGTACTTTATCTATGGTTAATTCATGCTCGTGTTTCGAAAATTTAAAATTTCTTGATAAGAAGTAATTTATCCCTCTCAGTAGGCATAAATTCAGACTAATCGGACAAGTAAATTCTGGAATATTATTGCTGAAAGGAAAAACAATTTGGTCATAAGAATAAAAAAATACTTATTCAACTCAATATCGGTTATTATGAAAGCAACTCAATATCGGCTATTACTAAACTATAAGCTAGCGTTTGGACATAGATTTAGTTGAAACTTGAAAAAATAATTTTTGAAGTAGTTTTGAAAAATAATTTTTGAAAGTTGAAATTATGTTTGGACATGCATTTTATTTGAAAAAAATTTGAAGTTTTGTGAGTTGGAGAACAAGTTTCCCCCAAAATCTACCCTAAACTAGATTTTGGGAACTTGAAAAATAATTTCAGAAATTTTTCAAAAACAGATCATTAATCTATGAACAAACAATGTTTTCAAAAAAGATTTGAAAAAACGTTGCCAAAATGTATGGCCAAACGGGGCCTAAGTAAATAATATATATGCACACTTTAATTTTGTTTACCCTTAAAATCAGATAACAATTGAATTTACGGAAAAAGCCTAAAACATAAATGGCATATCTATGCAATCCGTTAAAAGGTCGCCCTATTCATTCCACTAACGTTATACTTTTGGCCTATTTATGTCACTAACGTTATACTTTTGTCCTATTTATGCCATTGTTGACTAACACTTCCATTTTGTGATTTTTAAATAATAAGAATTAATTTTCAACCCCACCTTTGCCACGTGTCTTTGTATTACTAGTTTTTCTTTATTTGACCCTATATTTCTTTTAACCCTGATTATGTATAATTAACCATGCTCAACCCGATAAAATTCAACCATCTTTTAACCCAACCCCTAATTCCTCGTCATGACCCGATAAGATCAGTGTTCAGTGATTTGTATTTATTTGAAACCGATGTTGTGTTTATTTTAATTCAGTTTGTAAAAATCTAAATCTTAGAAGCTCGTGATTTGTACTACCGGTCCTTGAGAAAAGTATTAAGGTTCAGTTATTTTATCATTTGTTTGTCTAAACAAAATCTCATAAATTGGATAGTTGTTAATTGGCTTACTTAGCAGGTTGGGTTCGGTGCCATCACGACTAGTTGGATTTTGGGCCGTGACAAGGAATTAGGGGTTGGGTTAAAAGATGGTTGATCGGGTTGGGCATGGTTAATTATACATAATCAGGATTAAAACAAATGTAGGGTCAAGTAAAGAAGAACCAGTAATATAAAGGCATGTGGCAAAGGTGGGGTCGAAAAATTAATTCTTATTATTTAAAAACCAGAAAATGGAACTGTTAGTAGACAGTGGCATAAATAGGCCAAAAGTATAACGTTAGTGGCATGAATAGGGCGACCTTTTAACGGATGGCATAGATAGGCCATTTATGTTAGTTGAATGGCATTTTTAGACCTTCTCCGTTGAATTTATAAGTGGTTCTAAGGATATGTGGATTAATTTGACACAAGGCGATAAATTGAATTATAAATAAGCGAACAATAATAAAGTAAATTCAAATCATATGACTTGAACAATTATAGCCTTGAAAAGTAAGTCTCACTTGAACTGGATGTACTTCAAATGATATCAGATACAGAATAACAGTAGCTTGCAAGAAGAAAATTATATTATGATACTTTGGGATGCGTGTTACGATGTGTTTTACAAATAATCAGACCCCCTCTATATAGTAGGGGAATCCTACTTTATGTACAATTCTATAAAAGGTTACAAATCTCATGATTTGCTAATTAACCGGTTTCTCACTGATACATGCCGAGAATCCCGCCGTGATATCCGACCGGTTACGGATATTTCGGCCTTCCGCTATCTAGTCGGACAATATTTTCTCGAGCTCATTCGGAGTCGGGGCCGATTTTGGGGTCATGGACTCGATAATCTCGAAGACGGGTGTTCCAACCTCGTACCCTGGTTCGATGGAACCCGGAGTCACCTTCAATTCATTACGTTTTAAGCTCGATCTGTCATGCAATAGACGAGCCCGATTTCGACCGTACACAAATTTATTATTTAATCATGAAAAATTAATATAGTTTTTGTGAAAACATTTAGTGCATGAAACTTTTTCTATTAGCATCTGTAGATATTGAACTTTAGCATTTGAACTCCAACTAAAATTCCGTCTAACTTGCACAATTTTTTTTCCAAATGAAGTTCATGTACAAAGTACGAACAGAACTTGAATTGCATACAATTCTTTTTTTAACTTCATCCTAAGTATTTTTTTCTTTTCAACTTCAACTTAATAGCGTGTTTGGTCAAGTTTTTCCTTGGCAAAAAATGTTTTTTTTCAAAGTTAAGGTGTTTGGCCAAGTTTTTTGAAGGAAAAAAGTATTTTTGAGTAGAAGCAGTTTCTGAGAAGGAGAAAAAAGTAGCTTCTCCCCCATAAACATTTTTTTGAAGAGCACTTTTGAAAAAAATATACTTAGAAACACTTTTTAGAAGCTTGATCAAACACTAATTACTGCTCCAAAATACTTTTCAAATTGATTAGACAAACATAAATTGAATAGACAAACACAAATTAATTTTCACTAAAAGAATTTTTTTGAAAAGCACTTCTCAAAATAAGTAGATTTTAGAAGTTTGGCCAAACATGTATAAATATTGTCAAGCGCCAGCTTATTTTAAAAGCTTTGTAAAAGATTCAAAATTTAAAATAATAGTAGTATTTTTTATTTTTGGGGGGAACAAAAGCTAGTATTTTGGAAGCTGAAAAATTATAAAAGCTAATTAAAGTTATTCTAACCTTTGTTTGTACGTAACTAACCCTTTCAAAATTGGCAATATGGACCATTTTCTTCAACAATGAATCCACTACCTTAATTCAATGACTAGGGAATATTTTTTTTGGAGAAAACAAAAAATAGCATGTAATATGAACTATGGACCATCCTTATATTATAACTTTGTTTCTTCCTGTGTTATTCAAAGTATATATACTCCACTGAAATCTAAAATCATTTTACAAGATATCCTACTTATGCTACATGTCCATTAAGATCTACACCTGGAGCAGATCGAGCTTATAACTGCATAAGAAGACACGGCGATAGGATACACCACAATATGATAAAGAAGAAGCACCCCTCAATCGATAGGTTAAACAAAAGAGCAGAAAAGAGACGAAAGAAATCATACCTACTAAGTATTCATGTCCAGTCTATCACGGGGAATATTTTTTGATAGTAAATTTGAATGCGGCAAGGGCACGTTATTTGACCAAAAAGTGTTAAGCCTTTTAGTTAAATCAATCAATGATGAGAAGAAGGGTGAATCTTAGTTAACAATAATAAAATCTAGACCAAATATTAAGTGTAATAGGCGAAATGACTGACGTTAGTTAGTATGTTTGAGCTGATTAAATGCTCATGAATGCAACAATATAGATGTGCAATAAATGCTGATAAATGCGACAAGCATAACAAAAGGGAATTTACTACCCAATTATTGTAAGATTTGGATGGTTCTTTCTCCTGACAGCAGCGTGGAAAGAAGAGAATAAAAGAGGGTTCAGGGATCTTTGGATCTTGTGAGCATCGAATCAAAAATGTATGCTTGAATAATGTAATCAATGAACAAGACAACTTTAGTATATTCTCACAGGTCAATCTTTTACAGAGTGTTTTTCTTCTCATAAAGTGAAGATCTCCCTTTTGTTCTCTATCTCTTCCTATTTATAAGGGATATTTCCCAAAAACCCTAAAAAAGTATAAAATAAGGAATATTCAGAGGAATATCCTTATATCCATATCTGAACCTATGCTACCGTTATTCCTTCATCTAGCCTGCCCGCCTTTGGCATCAGTCTTCTCGAGAGCAGCCTTCAATTATCACGCCGTGGTCGACCCCTTCCGCGGTCTGGCTTACCCACTGTTGCCAAGTCGCCAAATTTTGACCAATATAGTTAGTCCCTCCGCTTGTTGAGGTCGTGGTTTTGTACGCCCTCAATAAGCGGACCTGATTTGCCCCCGTTTCGGAGGAATTTGGTTGTGTTGAATAAGTCGGGTCGACCGAGGTGGAGAGAATGGCACAACTAGTGAAGTCGTGATTGGTGTGGCTACCATGGGGTGATGTCATAGCCACGCGCGTCATCATTATGCATCTTCCTGAGACAGCGTCTGCGTGCCTGCCGCTTTGGTTTTAGTGTCGCTGACAATCCTTTGCTTCGATTCTCGCGCCACCCATCCCTTATAAATAGATGGAGGTTTTATTTTTTAGAAGTTTTCCCATTCTGTTCCTTGCATGAACTCTATTCTTCTTTGATATTCTCTGCTAGTTTCTGCCTCTGGTTTCGCTTTTTTGATTCCATTTCTCTCCTCCTTACCTAGTTGTTATCTTCTTCTTTGGGTTTGGTAGTATATATTTCATTGCCGAAAACATGTCACAAACTCTTCGAATTCTTGATGAAGTCTCCGATGCCACTCCGTTATCGGTGGCTCCTCCTTCCGGTGGTGAGGCATTTATGGCTGAAGAGGATGAGAGTTTTCCTACCGCGGATGAGATAGTTCCCAGAAATCCTTTGTCGAGAAACAATTTTCCCAAGGAGCCTGCTCCTGCTCCCGCTCAGGTGATCTCTGAGACCGGTCCGTCTCATATAGCTAAGCTTCGATCTACATATCGCATCCACCCTCACGTCGAGATAGTTCCGGCTGGTGGCGATATCGT